CTATAAGGTAAAAATATTGTAGCATTATAAATCGCCACAAAATTTTTTCAGAATCATGGTTATCTTGAGATAACATCGTCACTATATCGTGACAGCATTGTCAAAAATTTATAAGTTTCTGTAAAGTATATATTATATAATACAATAGTTGATTAAATATAACTAAAGAAAAAATTAAAAAATGCACTAAACTTACTGCAAAACAAAAAAAAAATATTCAAAAAAAAAAGCTAATTCTAATCTAAAAGATGAAGAAATTGCTACAAAATTTGATTGTGATCGAAGTACTATATCAAAAATTCTCAAAAAAAAAAAATAGTCTAAGATACAAGAAATTTCACCAATATCAAATGCACTTAAAATAGCTAGTTCTAAATTTCTCCAAATTGAAAAAGCTCTTGAAATGTGGATTGGTACTGTAGAACAATATAAGCTTACTCTTACAAGTAAAGTAATTTGTCAAAAGGCACTTCAGTTTGCAGCATTGTTAGGTATTTCAGAAGAGGAGTTTAGAGCATCTCAAGGCTAGCTTATATGATTTAAAGCTATAATAGGTCTTTGCAATTATAAATTTCATAGAGAAGCAGAAAGTGCATCTATAGAACTTCTTCTACAATTCAAAGAGAAGTTAAAAAATATTTTGGCAACTTATGAACTATAAGATGTCTTTAATGCTGACAAATGTGGTTTATATTATCATATGGAGGCAAGTTTTTTTTTTTCAACTACTGTAAGAAAAGGTAAAAAAAAGGACAAACCAAAAATTACAATTCTTTTTATAGCTAATGCAGTCAGGGGATTTACCAAATTAAGAAATCACGTTCTAGAATGATTTACAAATAGATTTCTGAATTTGATTGGCTCTTATGTGTCTTTTTCTTCTCAAATATTGTATAATTTGAAAAAAATTTTTTAATAGTTATTAAGTTCTAGTAAGCTTCGAACACATATTTCAAAACGTCTAGTTTCAATAATCAAAATTAATTAATGGCAGTAAACTTTTTTTGCCAAAGTAAATAAAAGGCTAAAAAAAGGTATTTACTTTGTATTAGAAGTTAAAAATCATTATTAGTCAACTTAAGATATTTTTTTTTGTACTATTTTGTATTTGTGTTAAACGAAAATTTAAATACTACAACTTTTATATTTTAATTTAAATCTTGTATAGGTATTAATATGGCTTGAGGAAGAGAATTCACGTAGCATAATATTAAAAACAAATAGTTAGAATAGATAGAGATAGTTAGGTATATACGTAGCATAATAATTAGGACAAATGTAGCATGTTAGCAAACAAACTTCGTACAATAATTAGAACAAGTATAGCACAATAGTTAGATAGATTCAGAATGAATGTAAGAATAATAGATAGATATAGGATTAGAGTTGGTAGATTCAGAACAAGAGTTAGATGTAGCATAAGTGTTTGTATATTTATGACATAGCACGATTAATAAATAAAAAATAAATTTTATTTTAAAAAAAACAAAATAAATAAAATTGTATATAGTTATATTCTTAATACAACAGTATTATAATAATTAAATTAGAATTAATTTTAAAAACGAAGCAAAAACAAAATTTTTTTACTTGATGGCAATCTTCAATTTGATTGGCTAATGATCATGCTTTGGAAATTTCTAGAATCAATTGAGCAATAATCTATACCTATATAAGGTGTGATCTACACTATCCATTTATAGTATATTTCCTGACTGTAATGCAGATGGTGTTGTACAGAAAAATTTGATTTGCCAGAAGTAAAATCAACTAGCAAAATTAAGCTAAAAACACTTAACCACCTTATCGAAAGAGATGTTTAGATTTGGTAAAGTGGAATGGTTCTAAAGCTTAGACAACAAATACGTGACAAACTTTGGTTTACCAACACTTGAACTACTGGAACCAACTCACAAGGAAATCAAGTGCCAACAATACTTTTCCAAATATAATGCTTAGTACAATCAACCTAAACTAAAGTTGAGAATGGTGCTAGACTCAGATAACAATAAGAGTTGGCTTTATCAGGTAGACAATTGGAGCAATCTAACCTAAATTTGGGCTAATTCAAAAGGGTAATCTTTGGGCAATATAACGGTTATAGTTTATATAGAATTTAACAATTAGACAAGAATTTAATTTAGCAAGAATCAAGATGAAAGTAGTGTTTGCAAAATATGTATTTATAGGGCAAAAACAAGCTAGAGGATGCTTGTTTTATCATATGAAAATGATATCTCTATTAAACAGCAGAAATAGACTGCTTTTATACTTTCTTTATATTATGTTTCGTTTAAAACCTTTAAGACTTATAATAATATAAACTCTTAAAATATATTAAATAAAGAAAAGACTTTTAAGTCTTAAAACTATTATACCTCTGACTTTAAGACCTTTAAGACTTTTAAGACAAATCACTCTTAAAAGTCTTAAACTCAAATAAATTAAAGATCATCATTTTAACCAAAAATAGTCACTGTGGCAATACGTAATATCAGCTGACCAAAAAAATAGAATTTTCAAAAACCAACTTTCCCAGGTTACAATGGTTTTGAAAAACTTACACCTCTAGTTATTTACAAATCTAAAATGCCAAATACATTTTATGATGCAAATATTATATACAAGACAGTATAGATATATCAGAATATATTTAAAGTTTTTTATATAGTTATTCAAATAAGGTTTTGATCTTACAATATATATTTATTTTATTTTTTAATTTTTTTTTTAAAAAATTTCTTTGTAATCTTCAAAGTAAATTTCAAATCCAAGAATGAAGAGTTTTATTACTTGTTAATGGTATAACCTTCTATGCTGTTGACAATCTTAATAAATATCCAAATATTCATGTACATTTCCTCCTTTCTAATACCACAGCACATCTGCAACCAATAGATACAAGAATAATTAATGCCTTCAAGGCACACTATAAATACCTTTATATCTGTAAAGTAATTAATGATTTCAATATAGATATTGAAAACCCAAATAAAATCGATGTTCTCCAGGCAATTTGGTTAGTAAAGGAGGCATGGAATGCAATAAGCAAAGAAACCATAAAGAACTGTTAGTACTATACTGGAATTCTGCCTTTTAGACATCTTGTTGAAATTTTCCCTAGTAATAAAAACTTTGAAAATAAAAGCATTAATATTTCCAAAATTATTGAAGTACAATATAAAGCTCAAGAGATCATTGATTTAACTAACAATACTGATCTTTAATAGCTTGTGCAAGAGTATCTTAATAATGATGACTTTGTCATTACTGAAGAAGTTATGGATAATAATCGAATAATTAAACTCATTAATAATTCAGATATCAATAGTAATAAGACAGATAATCTAGTAGAAAAGGAGCCCAGAATTACTTTTACTGAGGTTACAATATTTTTGCCATATTTATCTTGTGTAGTCTTTTAAAACTACATGTTACTCTAGCTATATCAACATTTTTAAATCATTAGTAAAAAAATTCAAAATGTCAATACTGACATTTTATATTAAATTTTTGAAAAAAAATAAAGATTTACCATTATATCGTTGTATTCAGAAGTTGGTATAACCAGAGTGTTGTGTATACTTCTACAATTACAAAACACTAACAGCTAATTTTATAAATTATTATAGGCTAAACAAAGCTTTAATTTACTTCTCAAATTTATTCGTCAAAATTTACTACAGCCTGATGACTTTATTAAAGAAAATGATGGAAGTAATTTTCATGATTTCCTTTCACGAACCCATAGAGCTTCTGTTAAAGTAATGAAGCAAAGTACTCTTGAAAACTTTTTGTATATTAATTTTTTTTTTTTAATTATAAGGGTGTAGCACCTGCACTTAGACTTTATTTAATACTTAAATAATTAACATATGATAGTGCCAATATATATACATATTATATCAAGTACTAAGACTAAAACATCAGGTATACAAACTATTTATCCATGGCTAAAACCTACTAGATCTAACTGTATCCCCACTATATAGCTGATCTGGGTTTATATATCCCTCCCCAACCACCAATCAGTATTTACATGTCCACTATATTACCTACAAACTATTTATCTTCAACTTCCAAATCAGTATATACCAGGTAGGCGCTTATTGCTTCTGGTTTGGTGTGCCTGTCAGAGAGATTTTCTTCCTCAATCCCTACTTAGCATACTTCCAGGAGTTTGTATCTCAAGCCATGCAGCTGCCTCTACCCAAACAGGTAAGTATCTCAAGCCTGCATGCTGCCATAACTAGCTGGTTTCCTGTAACTTTTAGGATCCAGGTCTTAACATATCTAATTAGGTTTGTGCTAACGACTGTACTTTTCAATATGGTGACAAGGCTGCTTAGGCATGTTTTGCAAATACTTTCAGTAGTTAGTATAGTTGAATAGCATCATGAGGCTCAGAGGTAACAGGTGCGTCATTGTTTCTTTTTATAGTGATTCTCAGCAGTTGTAGTCTCTGGTTACTGCTGCATGCATTTATACCAGCTATATCTATATTGCTAGTCCTGAGTCCTCTTAACGCCAAAGGCTCCCATACAGGTACGACCAGAGCCTGTTAGGTCTATCAACACGTACACGCCTCCATGCTTCAACTTCTTATTGGCTAGTAAGTTTCATATATACCAGAGATGTTCTAAATTTGATAAGGCCAATTCTTTACCACAGGTTCCTTTGTGTTCACCACATTTTTCACTACTTTCCAATTCTAGTTACCGCCTGGTCATCATCCCAAACAAGATCCCCAATGCCGCCTTAAAGATTGTTGGTGCTACTTTGCCAATCGCAGATTTACATACACAACCTTTGTGTAATAGAACCTTCTGTAACAACTACAATTACACGTAGTGCTAACTACTCCACAATGGACCTCCTTCTGGAAATTCCTAATCCAGACCTGTATTCACTTGAACTTCCTATAGCAGATATTTCTAAATATTCATAAGTAAACGTATCTACTAGGACTTGAATCCAAAACTTGCTTGTGAAGGGTTGGGTGCCTAGATCACTAGGCTACAGGATTCCAACCCATATATTAATTTTTATATTTGTAAGATATTTAAAGCTGTTATGTTATTTTATTCAATTTCTGGAATTTAATCTATTTAGATCTGTAGGTGGTTCTTCATAACCTTCTACAACTTAATCAACTTATCCAATACTATAACTAGGTTTTAGCCAATTAAATTTAGAAATACTTAATTGACAAATTTTTTTTATCTTTGTTTTATGAAGATATATATTCTTCTAATCCAGTTTAATTTTTTTTTAATTTACAATTTTTTTTCCTAATTTCTTGATCTAGTTGGTTTTTTTGTTCTGAACTTAAATGGGCTAACTGCTGGCAAATAATATTGCATTTATAAATTAACAATTGGTTAATAGTATCAAAAATATAATATATTTTGTTATAGTTAAATATTAATAAATCCGCTATTTGTCAAGAAACAAAATGAGATGAAGCATTATATTCGACATTTACTATACTTAATAGTCAAGAGAAAATTGCAGCGAAGTATAGCTTTCCTAAACAATTTTAAGCCCTTTGGGGGTCTACAATTGCTAAATATATCCAATATAAATAGAATATAAATAGTGTTAGCTTGACCAGACCATTTTGACTATTGGACCAGACCAATTTGACCAATTTGACTAGTCTAGTCAAAGAATTTGTACTAATTAAATTAGTCAAATAGTATATTTAAATATAATTTATTATATATATATATATATATATATATATTGGTTTCAATAGTAACAAGTTTATTATGCCTGAATGGTTAAATACATTACAAGGTAGTACAGCAGCCTAGTCTATATATTTCTATATATTTCAGGTCTCTCCCCTCACAGTATTGCAGTTCCTAGACTACTATACCTCTATTCGTATATAAAGCATCACACGGCTGCTCTAAGGTGCCCATATGTAACTATCTAGCTACTGATTTATCTCCTCTTTGGCCTCTAACTTGCTAGGGAGTTACCCGCTAGATCAACAGAAGGCCATGCTCGCCTATTTGCTGAGGCACCTGTTCCACTTATATGCCTCACCCAAACTTTAGTAATTTTACACTATAGCTTGACCTATGCACTCAGAGTAAGAGCTAACCATTGAACTCCTTGTAACTAACTTTAGTATCTGTTATGCTGCCGTCACCAGATTTGTACCTCAAGCCATTTTTTAGGATATTGCTATAACCTGTCCGTGTCTCAAGCTACAACCTTCCCAAGTTAGTCGACTATTACCTACTTCTTGCTTTTATTAAGATTCACAACAATTTCAATACCCACATTTGGTACCATCTTCTTATCTGGATTCTTTATCAGTCTCTTCCTTACTTCTAGCCAACAACCCGGAAGAGTTAGTCTGCCCAGGCTTTAGGTGCCTAAAGGATGCCCTCCCCTTGGTCCATACTTTTGAAGTATATACCCTTTTCCTTCAATATAACAGAACTCAGCAGTTCAGCTAGTGTGTCCTCCACCATTAGAACCTGGTTGTTTGGTTCTTCAATTTTGGGCCACGATTCAAATTCAGCCCTCATGTAGTACTGTTGTAGATTATCACTATTCCTTAACTCGGGACTTTCCAAATAGGTTTTTCGGTTATTCCGGTTCCTTGGCTTTATTGCACTATTGCTCCCATTACTAGATAGTGTAACTGAAATTACAGTTTTATCTAAGATCTAACCAATAATCATAACTGTCAACTGTAATGCAAACCTATTTTTCAAAATTCGTCATTCGTGGGATTCGAACTCTAGACTTACCACTTGAAGAGGGTAACGACTAGACCACTACACTAAATCGCCACATCTCTAATTTATTATATATTATATATATATATTTATATAATTGATTTAACCAATTTGACCAGTTCGACTATTTGACCAATTTGACCAGTAAATTTTTGGCCAACCACTAATTTGCCCAACACTCTATTAACAAAATGAGAGCAAAATTACTTTTATAATCCTTTTTCTGGATTACCCATATAAGCACATTATTTCGCGCTTATATGGTATAATATAGTTTATGAAATTTAGTTTAAAATATTAAATATTTATCTACAAACTAGTAAATCATCATTTTGAGAATACTAAAAATAAAAAGAATAATTATTTTATATTAGTCACATTTTTACTATAGTCACATAATATGCACGATTTTATGATATGACTATTGTGGGAGTTGACTATACAAATCATTTTAAATGCATTAGCTCCAAATCTACTACCCAACCAACATACCAATATACAGATGTGAATTCGAAATTTTCCCATTCATTAATATCTCTGAACTTATCATAATCAATCTAAGATAATTTAAACTTCTTACTATCTAATATTTTTTTAAGTTCTGAATTATAGGTTAGATTAGTTATTTTTGTAAATCTACTTGTGATTGCCTATGATAATTAACTACAGTTTTTAAATATCATTTTTAATACTATTATTATAAAGAATGAAAAAAAATTTTATATAAAAAAACTTACAAACTAATAAATATATGCAAAACAATTTATTATTTATATTTTAAAAAATAAATAGACATGTGTTAAATAGAATAAATATGATATTTATTACTAGTAAATAAATCTAATCTTATTAAAAAAATCCATGTATAAGATATAAACCAAAAATCTCAACAGTTGACAAACCCAAATATATACAAAAACCAACCAAATTAAATATTAAATTTAGTCTTTTACTATTAAATATTCAAATTAAACAGTTAGAATAAAAAGCTATTTAAATCTAGCATAATAAAATAGTTTTAGACAAAAAACATTCTAGTTACCTTTGCTCTTGATATAGTTCAATAGGTGATAGAAATTTTGTCTTCTAAGTAAAGTTCTTCAAGATCTCAATTATTTTCCGATTATTTTGCATGGTGAATATCCATAATCTTGTGAAGCTAATAGTAGAAAAAAGTATATTTTTAATTAGGTTTTCAAAAAGTACTTTAGTATATAAATAAGCTATTTAAAGATTTATATTAGCTATGGTTTTTGTAGCTTAGCTCATCATATAAGCAGATTTGTAACAAATTTGTTTACATGATAAGCTAAGCTACAAAAATCTGGACCAATTAAGTTTGTAATTTTGGCATGATCTATATAATAAAAACTACTTTTGTTTCATAATGACTGTTCAACAGACCATAGTAATAATAATGTCAATATTATTAAACTTTTGTTTGAATGCTTATTCAACAAGTTTTATATTTCAATTAAATCTTAACAAGAAATATAAAAAATGCACTATATATTAATTAGACTTTTATAAGAAACATATTGTATGAAGTACATATTAAAGAAGGTCCTGTATATAAATAAATATTACTTTTATTTGTATATACTAAAGATGGTATCAAAATAAAACCTACTCAAAACTAGTTTCATAAGAGTTCTAATTTAAAACTAGTTTCAGATTTTTTTAAAAAAATCAAAACTCCAAAACTCGAAACCCCAAAACTATAATCCAAAACCCAAATCTATAATCTGAAACTTAAAAATATCATTCTTATTTTTAATAAACCCAAACTAATTATTTTTGAATAAATTATAACATTATATAAATTATTTTTTTAATAATTTTTTGATTTGCTCTGGTTTTTTTTTAAGAATCAATAAGTATTTGATGCCTTTTGATATCAACAATTTATTTAATTCTGTAGTAATTTATCAATTCTATTATTAGTAAATATGATGTATTAATTACTTATTATTATTTGGTATTATATCCAGTTGTAAGTAAAAAAAAACTAATGCTTGTAAAAGCAAGCTTAATTATCAGAATATAAATACTAGAATTATACATTTCATATTATATTTATAAATTATAACAATAAAAGGAACTGCACACATGCAATGAATTGTTGGATATATTTTAGCCAAAATATCAATAGATACTGTAGCTTTCATGTCATGTTCTTAGACAAGTCACATATAATAGAATAATGAAACAGAATTGAGAAATATTTGATTTGAATGATGAAGAGTTATATAAATTTTAGAGATATATTGCTATTGTAGAAGATATAATATTTTTTAACCTTATACAGATTATAATAGTGTACTTTTTTTCTTTTTTTATATATACAGTTAGATTTCTCTAAATACATAGCATTGAGACCATAGTAAAATTTTTAAAAACATGCATTTAGAGAAGTTATGCATTTAAAAAGGTAAAAATCTATAAGTGTTATATTAAGTTGAACTGAAAAAAGACATGTATTTAGAAAGATTTTATATAGATATGCATTTAGAGAGGCTGTATGTCATGATTATAATTTATTTTTTTATTTTTTTTTATTTTTATTTTTTATATTTTGTTAGTGTACTTATCCCTCCTTTTTTTATTCTCTTTATACTTGTTTCCTTTTTTTTACACTTATTCTGCTTTTAATTTTTTTTCCATTGTAGTTAGATTATATGATAGTCTTTCTGCCAAGATCTAGATAAAAAAAATTTAAAGAAAAGAGATGATCATAATGGGCTAGTAGAACCAAGTTAAGGATATTCTTGAAGAAACTATAAGGAAAAATCATGTATTGAAATGAATCCTACTCTGGCAGGTCGCATATAGGTGCTTATAGTAATTGGATGAGTTATATTTTTATTTACAGATATGTGGGGGTGAGTTAGTAGAAATGCACCATATTTTTTTTAAGTAAATTTTTTTAAACCTTTAAGTAAGAATAACTCAACAACAATTTATAAAGATTTTTTAAAACCAATTCTAAAAACTTGTAGAATTTATTTAAAAAAATTTTTACTAAATTTAGTTAAGTTTTTGCTAAGTTATTTTTGTTTGAAGATTCAAAAAAATTTCATTAAAAATAATATGGTGCATTTCTACTGACTCACCCCCATGTAGTATCGGATTTAGTATTAGTATTTGCATATGTAACTATTGTCTTTTTAATAAAATATAGCATGACTGCTTGGATTTTTTTTTAAAAAAAAATTTATTATTAAAACAATCTCTAATAATATTTTTAACTTCTACTTTTGTCCACTTATAACTAAAGCATATTTAACAATCTTACTAAATAAAACTTTATAATTTTACTAGTATTTTACTATTACAGAAAAAACAAATTTAAATTATTAAAAAATAAATTACTAATATTTAAGAGGTATTAAAATATTTTAATTAAAATCTTCTAGTAGTAAATTTTGTTGTAAAATATTTGTAAAAAATAAACTATATTTGATAATATCAATATTAAAAAAAGGGTTAATGAATTTTTAACCGCGGTTACTGTAACCACATCTAAAAAAGCCAATCAAATTTTAAGATCAGGTGCAATGTCAAAACTTTTTAAAAATTTTGACTATAAAATCATCTTTTATGTTCTAAAAAAAAATATATTCTTTGCTAAATTTTGATATAAACTATGCTAACCGCAAAGTTTTATTTTTATAAAAAAAAAATTGGGTTGATACACCTGATCTTAGTTACGGTTACAAACCATTAATTCTTTAATTTAAATTTTTTTAATTAAATATTAACGCTAGTTTGGATTTAGTATTAGGACAACTTTTTTTTAGTTTGTAATTTTATCTATAATACTTGTTTTATTTAATTTTATTATTAACAATTTATTGTGTTTACATTTAATTGTAGGATGATGTCATGTTTATTGTAATATTTCTATACTTTGATCTATCGATTTTATTTTAAAATCAATATTATTATATTGAATATTTAAAGAAGTCATCGTGGTATTTTTACAAAGCGCGCTAGCTAATGCTTTCCCTCCTTCTGATCCAAGATTATTCTTTCTAAGATTCAAAGAAGTCAACGTTGTGTTATTACAAAGAGCATTAGCTAATGCTTTTCCACCTTCTAATTCAAGTTTATTATATTCAAGATCTAAAGAGATTAGCGTGGTGTTCTTACAAAGAGCATTTGCTAATGCTTTTCCTTCTTCTGATCCAAGAAAATTATCACTAAGATTTAAATCTTTTAAAGAAATGTTCTTGCAAAGCGCATTAGCTAATGTTATTCCACCTTCTGATCTAAGTTGATTATATTCAAGATTTAAAGAAGTCAACTTAGTATTCTTGCAAAGAGCATCAGCTAATGCTTTTCCACCCTCTGATCCAAGATTATTATCATAAAGATCTAAATTTTTCAGCGTGGAGTTTTTATAAAGAGCATCAGCTAATGCTTTTCCACCTTCTAATCCAAGATTATTAGAAGCGAGATTCAAAGAAGTTAGAGTAGTATTCTCGCAAAGAGCATCAGCTAATGCTTTTCCACCTTTTAATTCAAGTTCATTATATTCAAGATCCAAAGAAATTAACGAGGTATTCTTGTAAAGAGCATTAGCTAATGCATTTCCACCATCTGATCCAAGATAATTATCATTAAGATTTAAAGAAGTAAGCGTGGTGTTTTTACAAAGAGCGTTTGCTAATGCTTTTCCCCCCTCTGATCCAAGATAATTACCAGCAAGACCCAAATAAGTTAATGTGGAGTTATTACAAAGAGCGTCAGCTATTGCCTTTCCTCCTTCTGATCGAATATAATTATTAGCAAGATCCAAATAAGTCAGAGTTGTATTCCCGGTAAGAAATTTTGCTAAAGCTTCTACTTCTTTATTACCAATTTGATTTTTACAAAGATCTAAAGAATTTAGAGAGGTATTTTTATAAAGAGCCTCTAATATTGATTTTACACCTCCAAGTTCAAGTAAATAAAATTCAAGATTTAAAGAATTTAAAGTAGAATTCTTTTTAAGGATATTTACTAATATATCTATTGCTTCATACTTAAAATCACCACTAATATTATGCATATATAAATGCATAGAAGTAATAGTAGAGTTCTCATAAAGATTTTCAAATATTGGTTGATTACAAATAATTTCATTAAGACTTAAATATTTAAGATTTTTACTAGTTCGTAAAAACATAGTAATTAAAGAACATTTAACTGCATTTTCAAGTTTACATTCAGTTTTATATCTTTTATAAAAAAGCCAATTTCTAACACCATCATATAATTCACTACTAACAGAAGTAATATAATTTGTATATTCAAATAATGGTTTTGGATGATTTGGAAGGGTAATTTTAAAAGGAATTAATAAAGTTTGTTCTTTTGCGTTTAATGATAAAAGGAATATTGTTATAAGTCTTATATTTTTTAAATGATTTTTTGGTTCGCTCCATAATATTGGTATAATAATTCTACACCATTGACGGTTTACTAGAGCACATGAAAATAAGTTTTTATAATTATTTCGAAGGTTATTAAATATTATATAGTAACACTCAAGAGGTAATATTATCATATTTTGACCGGAAAATTTTGTACGTTACGTAAGTACATGCGTGCGTGCGTGCGTGCGTACGTAGGGTTTTTATAACCAGAATAATTGTTGTGAAACATTGCCAAAAATCCAAATTTGGAAAGAATTTCTACAGCTATAGCAGTGCTATAACAAATATAACATACGCACATGTTGAAAAGGTAAGACTGGGGACGTTCTCAAGCGCCTTAATCGAAGTTTCGGGGAATAAATTTCATTTGGAAAATATTTTAAGCGTGTTTATTATAACGATAATGAATATTTAAATAATATTCGCAATTTGATAAAGTTTATTTAGTTTTTATTAGTAAAAAATATTAAGAGGAGGTAAATTTTATAATAAAAACAATCGGAACTTCATATAGTTTTTTTATAGTACAGGAATGTGAACTTTCTTACATATAAAAGTATTTTTTCTACGAGCTCATTGAGATGATTCTAATGGTAGTAAATCGGCCTGGTAGATCACGAGATATGAATATTTTTGAAGTTTATTATCTGAAACTAAAAGTGAAAAGTTTTAAGAGTTTATCATCTCAATTTACAGTATTTTCTTGTTTTTATCCCTGGCTTGACAAAATTTGCAATTAGTCGAGTATTCAAAGAGATCGCACAAGTAACTTTGTCATGGATCTTCGTTCTCGCTGTCAACGAATTTAACGAATTACCATACTAAAAGTTTTCATGGCAAATAGAAAATATGATAAAAATAGCAGATGTCTTTTAGCCATTACTCATATAAAACAAATTCAACTATTTCATTCAACAACCTAATATATTGACGAAGACTTAAAACTATGTTTTCCCATACTTTTTAACTGAAATTTTTTTTGAGAGAGATGACATTTGATAAATAGGACCACTAAAAGTATCAATTACTTACAATCTTTATTTTGATTGATTATAAATGAGCATCGTTATGATCACTAGTTAATCACAGAAGATAAACTTTAATTACGTCATTATCAAATTGTTAACAAGTACTATGGCGATCACTAGCTAATCACATCGAGAATGAGGTTTGACACTTAACTGTAACATCCATGAGAATGAATAATATAGTAAAGTAAAAGATTAAAACTAGAGATAGGTAATAAACGCAAAATTTCTTACATTTATGCATGTTTCGATATATGTAATAAATGGCATGATTTATCGACGGATTCTTTTATACATCTTATTCTAGATTCTAGACTTGAATTTTAATCTGGATCTTGATAATAATAACTATTGTAATATGTAGAAGATTCATCATTTTGAGCAAGAGAGAATAGAATATGAATTTCCGTTGAATTAAATTGATCTTATATATATAAAATTTACGATAACACAATGTCATGAAAATTTTCGAGATAAGAGCAATTTTCAAAGAAAATTTGATCAGTTGACATACGTTATCGTAAAGTTTTAAGTTGATGGGAGCTTTTTTTTCCTATAATATCACATTGTTATCGATTTGCAGATTGGACTTTAAAATTATCAGTTTGAAATAAAGCTCGTTCAAATAAACAAAATCATAACCATTATTATTATTTTTCAATGATATTTTAATTGTTTATGGAATCACAATCTTTAATATTACACATAAAAATATGATCTCCTCATATAAGTTACATAATATCGAATATTAATATAATAACAAGATGTACGTACAATGACTATCAAAGACCACTTTAACAGACATGTAATTAAATAATAAGAATTCTTGCTAGAATTTTTCTATCGATTATTAACGACCAATTCCAGAAACTATGAATGAATAAATGTAAATATTAGCATCGATGTTTTTTTTTAAAAAAAAAGATCTCCCCGAATGTCTTTGTTAAATACCTGTTCATAATTGATCATAATCCAGCCGTCAGTATCTGTATCATAACGCCTGAAAGCATCTGTAAGAGTCTTGACAGTCACGCAAGATTGCTAAGTAAAATGTAAAATTATTAATAAAATATTCAGTTAGGCTCTTGATTACCTTTTAAATTTAATGAATGAATGGATTTTACATACCACAAAATTGTCAAAAGTCACATCCCCTTTTCCTGTTTTATTTTTTGTGCCCGCTTCAGTTATTAAGCCACGAAATGGTTTTTCATTTTAATAAGGACCAGGAATAAATATATATTCCTTTTGAAATATAACCCAGCCAGAAGTCCTTTATTATGTATAAAAATTTTCCTTACCATATTTATCATACTTTTTAATAAGTAGGCTAACGAAACTATCACTTAAATTGTATCCAAATGTTTTCAAAGCGGTTTTAAGTTCTTGAAAGTTCACAGTGCCTGAATTATCAGCATCGAAGGTTTGAAAACATTTTTTCCAATCTTCAATGTACCGCCAAAGTCCAACAAATTCAGAAAAATTAATTGTTCCAGTATTATCTAATCAATATCAATTTAATATCAATTTAATTTCATTATTATTTAACTGTTAATTAATACGAAATATCGATTTTTCTAATATACCTGTATCAAACATATTCATCATTAATCGGACAGTTTCAATATTAAATGGACTCCAATCGCCTAGTAAATTAAAAAATAATAATTTTTTTTTAATATATATTTTTGTATTTTACTATGTATCATATTATACATGCCATTAATTAAAGCTTTTTGTAATTCCGCCGCGGTCAAATTTCCACTTTTATCAGTGTCTACAGCTTGGAACCAATAATATAACTGTGGGTCTGCACCAGGTGGAACTTGCCCTGGAGGTGGGTCTAAATTAAAATATCATAAAATATCGTAAATACAGTATATACTCCGAAACCTTTCATGTCACTTATGAGGCAAATACAAACTTTGCTGTTGCTGATAAGCGCTATGCTGTTGCTGTTGCTGTTGATGCTGTTGTTGGCCATAAGATTGTTGACCATAACTTGGTGGTGGTGGTCTTTGGTTTTGATTGTAATTATAAGACATACTTATCAGGTGGAATTTGTCAGTTAAATTACGTATAGTGTTTTAAGAAAAATCCTTTTCTAAAAGCTGAAAAGTGTTGTACAGTACACCGTTTCATTTCTTTATATTATTATCATTATCAGTTTTTACTAAATAAAGAGAGAATCTTCAGTCACATGATTATTTGTAAAGTCCGGTTCTAAATTTACTTAAATTTACTTACCTGTTACGTTATCGTTATTATTTATTTATTATATAATAAAAAAATTCGTAAAAATATCACCATATACCCAGTTGTCAGTTTTTTGATCGGAATATCGGAATTCAGGATTTTACCAATTTTACGATATCGATAATATTGATAAAATGATAAATTATGATATCATGTTAGAATCCCAATTAGTTTCGGATACGAGATTACCAATCTCAGATTAATGGGAAATCGCAATAAAATCTTTATTCAAGTTATTTCTCGTTTATCGGTGTAATGCCTTTTTTGCGAGTTTTATGATATATGAAATTTATTCATCAAGTGCTTAATTAAGTATTTATTTACAGACTTCTCTAAATGCAGCCTAAATGAATGACGCCAAGAAAAAATAGGAACTTCATTCATATAAAATTCTATATCTACTGATCTTTTCAAATCGTTTATATCTCTGTGTAATGTAATCTTAAAGACTAACTTTTTATCTCGATTTTTTATGAATCTTACTGCATATATGGGCCGAACTTCTCCCGGAAATCATTTTGCAAAATTTCGAGACGGGTTACATTTTCAATTATAGAAGATTCGTACATTACGAGATTACCCGATATAACTAACCAATCACGGTTATATAAATGCAACACTTCATGTTTCATCATAGGAAAATATGAAAGAGAGAACCTTATAATATCGAATGCATGTTTAATCGGAATTGATATAAAAGCATAATAAAAAATGCACATCGTGTCAGAACCATTTTTTAATATTAAAATAAAATAAAATAAAAAATAAAACAACCATTTATTATAAAATACACCTAGTAAAAAATGAAAAATAAATACAGTAAATAAAAAATAATAACAATTTGTATGTCGGGTTTCACATTCGACCTAATAATAATCCGAATTTTATACTTCATTCTGTATCTCTATTTTCGGATCTGCCTTTTCAATTCTCTATTATCCACACTATAAGGCGTTGAATTTGGTGACATTGCAGGTACTTCAGACTAGTAAACAAGGTTACTTTGCGTTAGTATATTCATTTTTAGTAAAAGCTTTGTATTACGAAATAAAATATATATTTAAAATACATTACTTCCAATGCAAAAAGTTGGTTGAATTACAGGCATTGATGCCTTATCAATTACAAGTTTGCTTTTGCAATAAGGCCAGGCTGAATAGATCCCATCAAAAGATAGTTCCATGATGAAAGATTCAATAATATCATCTAAGTAATAATATAATCAAGCACCGAAATAATATTTTACAGAATATGAAAGATCAAATGTTTAAATCTACATACCCATGTTTGTAAAAATCACTGATTTATTAGGGCCACCTTTCTGATTAAGCAGCTGATTGATGGTTTTTTTGGCAGGCTCAAGTTTCAGTGACTTACACAGTTTATACGCACATCGCTAAGTTAGAATTGCGAGTATGCACCATTTTCTTTTCTGGAATAGGAATTCCATATCCATGAGAAAAATTGTAGTTATCTAGGATGAAATTCACCATAAGAGCACTTACTTAGATTTGTTCGGAAAATTTTGTAAGTTTGAAATTTTTTAATTTTGAAATTGAAGACCACTTGGTGAATAATTTAAATTTAAAACCTAGCTAGTTTCTTTCTGCATTTCTTTAAGATTTCGGTAGTAGCAAATTTCACAAAGCAACTACAATAGTTGGTTCATAAGATTTATGTAAAAGTCAAAGAATTACTTTTGATTAAATACAACCAAGTCATCGTCATCCTCAAGGGACATCTGGAAGTTATATCTAAATTATGTCAAAGGAAAATAATTAAAATTATAAAATAAATTAAATTAAATTAATAATATAATATATTTAATATATTACTTACTAATTTTTAATTTCAGAAGTTTATTATTCTTTCAGCACTTGTCTCAAATATTTCTTCAATTTCAAGTACGCTAATTATTGTCTCCTTTTTTGACATATCAATTTTATACTGTTTAATCTTGTTTTATAAATTTAAAATTTTGAATTTCATAAAAAAATTAGTACCTATCACTGAAGCATATTTCAAGTTCCCATTTGTATTTTAAGCTGGTACTAAATAAGGATAGCACCAAAAAGTTAAGATGATACTACAGAATCAATAGCGAAAAAGGTGCTTGCCTAATAACACTATAAAACATCTTACCTATTTATCATTTTTTAAAATTTTGAAGTTTCTTTTCTTAGCATGCACAAAACATTTGAAAGTCCTAATGTAAGATTTACTACTTTTTCATGATCCTGTGAATTTTTGATAAAATTTCATACTTTGTAAACACAAAATAATGCTCACCTGCCTTTGCCATTATTTTTAGGAATTTCAGGAATTTGAAGGTTTAGCTTCTCGATTGGTTCAAATGAGATTTACAATGCATCCGAAAGGATTTTGATCATAGTTGGAATTTGTTTGTGGTGTTATTTAAATCATAAGCATTACTAACTCGGCTATTAGGTAAAGAAAGATTTTATTTATAATAATAAATGTCACAAGGAAAGTAAATTATTGAGCTATAGACGGTTTGCTTTGATTTATTTTGCGTTACATTCGATTTTAAAATCTGATTGGCCAGTGAAATTTTTTAGAGTGGCGTTCTATAAAATGCACGTTGTTGGGGGAAGTACACTTACAGAAAATGCACTTATGGAAAAATAATCTACACATATAACAGTATAATGTTACATAATTTATCATAATTACATTAGACCGATCAATTTCTACACTTATAAATGGGTCGTATTAAGCATTTTTTGATTCTTTTAGACTCTTATTTTTGATATACTTGCACGCAACATGCGTCACGTCAGTATATCAAAGTTTGTAAAAAAAAACTTTGATATACTGAAAACTATAAGAAATGGGTACATATATATTCGTTACATTATATAAAACAAAGAGATTTATTCGATCACACTGCAATATGCATTATGTTCAAATTTGATGTCGGTCTCTACCAATAAAATAGGGTTATATTCAAGATTCGTGAAAAAATTTGTAAAATTTAGCTAACGTTAAGTAAGAATATGGGCAAAATTTGGCTAGCATTAAGAAATTTGGAAAATTTGGCTCCAAATTTTTGTCGGTCCATGGATGGCGGTTGTTAATATATAATACAAAACCTTCCATAAATGCACGTTGTTGGGTAAAGTACACTTATAGTAATTATAGTAATTGTACTTGTGGAGAAATAATCTAACGCATATATAATTGTATTTGTGGAGAAATAACCTAACGCATATAATGTTACATAATTATGTTAGACCGATCAATGATGTGCACTTCTGCACTTATAAAGGGAAAGTGCATTTTATACTTATGAGGGTCGATAGTGTATAATTTGTCGCAATTATAAATTATTAATTCGGGATGTCCATGGGAGCTAATTCAAGATTGTATAAACTATTTTTGAAGGACTTAATTTTTAAAATAACGCCCACAAAAGTTATTTCGCGCTTATATGGAATGAGAATCAATAAAAACTGGGTTACTTCTCTTTAAACGACTATCTTGAGCAACATTTCGTGGTCTATATGAGTGCTAAAAAGACCGGATTTTTCAATTATACTCTATGGAAAATCTATCATGATGATAAATTTTCCATAGACGGTTAACTGTACACACTGTACACAAAATATAATTGAAAGTCCGAACGGCCTTTTTCTCTTGGCAGCCCTCATATGATATTCATTTGATTGAAATCCCCTTCCCATGATGTAACCTAACCGTTCTTTTGTTCCAACTGTAAAATTTTCTTTGATGTACAAATTAAATTCATCAACAAATACGTGAAAAGAATTGTTATGCTCCTGAACTGCGATATAGATATGAATGAAGTTTTTGGCTAGAGGTAACGCTAAACGAAGTTGTAATTTCAAACAGCCTAATAATATAAATATGTCATAGACAAAGTTGTCATTTAGAATATAACATACATAGTTTTTCAAATTATACTCGGGTGATACGCGAGATATTGTTACTTCCTAGTAAAATATAATTAATAATGATCGGCGAGAGTGGTGTACCTTACGATCATAAGAACTATACATATAGTTTAAAATATAAGCAGATTTGACGGCATCATTTTTTTGTGCATGCATTGGACTAAGACGATTTTTATTATAGAATTTATAACTGGGGATCTTGCTTTTTTACCATTGGGAACTTTGCAGTTATCTAAATTTTCTTCGATCATCTTGATTGTAATGTGTGTCATTTTTGAAGGATGCCATTTTTTGAAATTTTGATGTGTTTTCTTTCGAGAAAATGAATTATAGAAACAAACGCATTAATTTTTATTTACCAAAACATTCCAAACAAGGGATTGTATTTTTTAGATTTAATCATGATTTTGATAAGTAAACCAACCTTAATATGGCATAAAGAAATATAATGAGAACTAAATTTATCTTGAAAAATGTGGATGTGAAGTTTTAAAAGTTCTTTATGCGGATTTTATTAGCATATTGGTCATTAGTGTTTCACAAAATTCTTAGTGCAAGGGAAAAATTCCGAAATTCCGAAATATCGTTATTTACAGTAATTAGAAAGACGGAGTATCATCTAGTAAATAGGTAATTTTCGAAAAATTGATACATTTTGAACCTTTAAATGGTTTAATTGCATGAATGAAAGTTAAATATTAAGTAAGAACATAGCTTTTAAATAGCTTAAAAGAAAATTATTAACGTTACAATGGATATATAAGCATAAGTTCAGGTATTGAGTCGAATATTTTAAATATAATTGACCATGCAACTGACATTATACCTTTAATTAAACCAGGAAGACAATTCAATCTCATAAATTATTAAAATTTGCGTCAGATTAAAATCCACCCTACCCTAATGAAACGCAAAATTTTAATTTAATTCAAGACATTATTATATATGTGTACATAAAATTGGGTTTGAACAAGACATTATTATTGGAATTATAAGTTAAAGAAGCTCTTTCTAAACACTTTTATCTATTATCAAACTTGCACTTGCTAGAGATATCTCATTAGTGCTTAGAGACTAACCATAAGGTCCGGTGAGATAAAAACTTTCATTTAAATGATGGCTCTAACCCGCTACATACTGTATATCGAAGGTTTTGAAGATTAGATTTTATAGAAATCTTTTTTTTATCTTCATTATCATTAATAAAAGAGCAGTATTTTTCATTTGCCTAATTTATAATATCAGAAAAGACGAAATAATACAGTAAATTTTATCTCGGTAAGTCCTTTCTAGTTAAAGAATCATCGTAGACAGGCTACAGAGAATGCTTATTATATATGAGTTTCCCCAATTTTATGTTTATTTCATTAGGAATTAGAGCTTCATTATTTATAGAATCACTCACACAATTTGAAGATAAAGTTAAAAAATCTTTATTTCTGCTCGATGAAAAAAAAATTAGCCAATTTTATTTTTTTAGTTCATCAATTAGGACCGCCCGGTCCCGATCTTTTCAAAAAGAGCACATTAAATTATGCATCATTAAAAATCAACTGTCAAAGGAAAATCATAAGCAGAGCATGTGGTTTGGAATTGTTGACGAATTAAGCGTTTTCGACTTTAGAGCATATACTGTTCGGTCCCTAATCAGTTCCACTGTTATGGATGAAATGACAATAAAAATAAAAAAGATAGAATTTAAGCAACTCTCCAGAGCATGACGTGATGATTTGGCAGAATAAATTTATTTAGGAAATCTGGAAATTTTATTAGTTGTATTATTTGCAACCACGGAAGCTATTCCTTCACAAGAACGAAACTACAGTATTTTTATACTTTCGAGAAGCAAGGAGGCACAAGGGGATTTAAATTTAATTACATTTCTTTCACAGCCAACATTCTTAAAATTCAAGAAACATTATTCTACGAGATATATTAAATGTAAGTTTCATTTGTTGTTATAAGAAACTGCAATATCAATTTTACTCTCTTTTCTTCTTTCTTTAACTAAAGTCTTTTCACACTTGTAATCGTTCTTCAGATGTTTAGGTTTCACGTTTGTTTATTTATCATAATTTGATCGACAAGCCTCATACGTCATAACCGAACTCGATCACAGTGGCGCTCTTAGATCACGAAGCAATAGAAACTTTATTGGATTATTAGAACAGATTCAAATATGAACATGGTTAATAAATTTAGGTTTCATAAAACAGGTCAAATACTGTAGTTCAATACAGTTAATATGAAGGAACAATCGCAAATTATTTCAAAATAGATGTTAGGCCATACAATTTAATAAATTGGTTCACATAAGGATTGAGTCAACTCATAGATTGTAGCGTATTTGATTTTAAAATTTTTATTGGAGAAAATATAGAAAGTATACATATTACATGTGAGAAACGAGAAGTTTTAATTTGGATACAATTTCGAATTACCATATAAAAGGTAATTCGTATGAAAAGATCCAAGTCCAGTCTCATTTTCAGTATTAGACACAGTCGAGGGTGGTTGCTGCATAATTGGTGCATTTGGAACACTTGAATTAACGTTAAACTCAGGTCCAAAGTTTCGTTGCCCGTCGATAGTGAGATCAGATTGGGGTACATCCATACTTAATGCACCATTGATAACAATATCATAATTGATTCTAAATAAATACGGACTCACTAACGTATCATTAAGATTTGGTTCGAGAAGACCATCCCAACATAAACCATGAGATTGTTGCTCGAAATTATCACAATCGAGAACTTGATTATTAAATATTGAAGGTTGATGATATTGTTGCCCTTCAGCGATGTTGTTAACTACATCATATGGTGCGTTGTTGCTGTCACGTGATTCGCGAGATAAATCATGTATAGTAGATAGATTTGATTGTTGCTTGTCATTACCACAGTCTTTACTAACGGAAACATTATCATCCGATGATCCAAAATCACGCGACTCATTAATAATGATCGGCGGAGAGCGAAACATTTCACGATCATAATAACCTGTCTTAATAATATGATGCATAATGTGCGCAAGAATTCCACAAGCAACTTTGACATCATCATTTTCTTTCGCATAGGCCATCTTGGCTGCACGTGGATTAAGACGATTTTTATTTTTATAAAAGATATAACCAGTGGGGGACTTTCTTTTACCATTGGGAACTTTGCGGTTATCTAAACTTTTTTCGATCATCATTTCATATTCCGAAAGATCCATTTTGATCAGTTTTAGAACATCTGAAATATTCGTAAAGATACTGTTTTTGTAATTTGATTTTTTCATTTTTTTTTTTTTTGCTTTTGAAAAAATGATTATAGAAAACAAACGTATTGAGGAAAAAAAAAAGGAATTTATATACTTAGGAAATGTAGCGTATTATACATTAAAAATGATTTATTCATATTTAGATCACTTAACGCATTCAATGAGGAAGTGCATTATACGTAGAAAATTTTCTATCAAAAATGTACCTGCTCGTAAAAATTACTAATTAATTTCTCAAGCAGCAGCCATTTCTCCTCAATTGTCAACAAAACCAATTACGAGAGTATGTTACACCCGACAATTATTATAAACGATAAACGGTACTGCCCACTTCACTGACAATCATTTCACCGAAAGTTCACACTACATCATTTTCGAGTCCTCTATCAATTTTGCAGTGTCACGTCATCAGACAGTTGGTCTGCATTGACTTAGTGATCAAGATTACCGTAAACGGCCATATAAAAGACCCGGGGTCTAATACATGGCTGAGAGTTTGTATCCTCGAAAGTAAAAATTTGAATGCATACACACTTTGCATTTGTAATATGCAATCTAGATGTTTAAAAAGAATTGCATTTTAATCAAGAAGATCCTGAGAACTGCATGCGAGTCTAGTACCTGGTGGGTCTACTATTCTGGGGTCTTTTATATAGCCGTTTACGGTATTTTTGAAAATTTTTTTGAGCTTTTGAATTTAAGAAGAAAAATTTGCCTCTTTCGCAGCAAATTGGTCCGGGAATATTTTTACTTAATAGGGTGGTTGTGGTTTTGTTAGTAAAATTTTGGCTGGCTGCGCCACTGCAAAGGTGATAGCCGCCCTGGAGGGCCGTGAGAAACTCGGATTAAAATAAACTAATTTACATGCCCTTTATTTAGAACTCTTAACTTGCGCTTCATGTACAGTATCAAGCGATCAAAATATTGATTGATCTAACTGAACAGACTAAAGAGATTATAGAGATTGAACATTAGTTCTTTACTTTATTTGTGCTAATTATGGTACAGATTTTCTCCAATAAATCCATTTTTAATAACGAATAATCAGAAGTATGACTATAATCTTTCATAATTTTTTTTGCAATCATATGGAATGCGACCATTATATAAATAGAAATAAAAAAATTTAACAAATATATTTAAAAATATTTTAGTTATTCACCGTTTGAATAGTCGTACAGTAGGCTCCGATATTTCACTCTTATTTGGGAATAACTTTAATTCAAATTCAGAAGGACAGCAGACAATTAGTAAAAGGGAGAATAACACCTTTATTTCCCGCTATGGGAAAATCATAGTCAATGGCTCGGTACCTATAAAATTCAGGAAATATTCATTATACAGTCGTCCTCCTCTACAATCACACCCTCTTTATAAGCACTATTTTTTGAAAATTATTGGCAATTTATTATTAAAAAAAAAACTTTATATAATTACATTACTATTAAATTTTATAATCACATCTTTTTTATGTAAAACAAACCGCGTGATTATATAGGAGGACGACTGTACACTATTAGTAGAGAATAAATAGTACTTATTTCGACCCGGCATAATTATGACATTCATTAGAGTATACCAATTACCAGGGTCAATTAATATACAAATTAATTTAATAAATTTAATTGTTATTTAGGTTAATAAGCTTTCATACAAGTGATTTTCTAAATATGGGCTTATTTAATAAGAAGCCGGTGAATGAGGATTGCATTAAAAATTACTATTATGTGACCATTCCATTTTACAACACCATTTCTATTCTTTTTTCACATGAAATACGCCAAAATTTTGAAACATAAACTTTAAACTGAAATAACTTTATTAATTATTAAAGAAATAAAAAATCTATTCTAAAAGAATTGTAGCTTTGGCAAAATTGTAAAAAATCTGTTAGAAAATATTTTTGATTAATATATGAAGTTTGTTATAAAATTTTTTATAAAACATATGATGTTTTTTGCTGTCCGGTACAGCACGTATTTGTAAAACGCGGAATAATTATGCACGTGATATTATGAATTGAACAACCTATGTAATTATACCACAAAAAATTTTCCGGTCACATGACTTTATCGTGGCGCAAACCAATTAAATTTCAGGATCAGGTGTAACGTAAAAATTACGCTTTTTATATTTTTTTTATAAAAAATCACTAAAAACTCAAAAATTTGTCTATGAAATCATCTTCTGCGCATTAACAAAAAAAATTCCTTGCAAATTTTTGATAATAGCAACGCTTTAACAAAGTGTTTAACCCAAACCTTAACTCTCAATTTATTACTTTAATTCTTTTGTTTTATTCGATTGTTTGATTTTCATGTTACACCTGATCTCGAAAAATAATTGGCTAGTGCCATAAAAAAGTCACATGACCGGAAAATTTTTTGTGGGTGACTAACATCCGTGAACAAAATTGTGTTTTTTAATACAGTTAGCAAAACAGTAGTGTTTTATATAGGATTGATTATAATTTCCTTTATTTTAAACTTGTTCTTTATATACTAATAAAATTTTACATTTTGCCTTTATACAGTATTTATAATCTAAATAAAGGAGGGTCTATTGTTAAGAGAGGTCTTGTACGTGAAACATCATATATGATAGTAATATAATATATAGTTATTGGATGCGAAGCAGCCAATAACGGAAATTATCCGGCACCTTACTATGATCGTACCAACAGAATAACTCGAGTTATTTTGTTGGTACGATCATAGTAAGGTGCCGGATAAATCATGTTATAAAAAAATTCATTGAATATAAAAGTTACTTTTCGATGCATAACGATAAATTCATCTTATCAGTATCGTCATATATATTTTATTAGTATATTTTAATAGCCAATCAAATTACGATTTTTACACAAACAAGATCGCCAATAAAAAAATGAATTTCCACTGTTAAAAAATTTACACTACTTTTTTTTCTTCACGTTATAATTTTGTAAAAAAAAATGTCGAATATAAAGATCGAAGACGACGTTCAGGTTATTACAAATATAAAGACTTTGCTACAACGATCCGCAAAACGCAGTAGAGCAATGTTTCGTTCGGGGGATGCAGCAAGCTCTACTTTAGAGGATGACGAAAGGTTCTGAATTCTGGTGGCTGTTCATGGACTGTCTACTTTCTCTATTGATATTACTTTTGATTTTAAGCACTTATTAAGCTGTAATTTTTGATTTATTAATCACTTTCTTAGTTTACGGATAAAGTTACGTGTGAAAATTCACGATGAGTACGCTTATCCTTCGGTACCTAGTAAATCAAAAATAATAGATCAACCTTCGGCACCTGGTAAATCAAAAATAATAGAATTTATAAAATTTCTTTGCTTGAATAATTTTATTTATATTTTTATATTACCTAGGTGATGATAACCTTCCATCTGATGATAACCCTCCACCATCCCGGGTTCAGTATGTTTCACATATGAAATCATATTTTTAACCAGTGTTATAATAAATAACTAACTAATTATTATTTTTTTTTTATGCTCAGACAAGAAGCTGCCAAAACAGCACAAGGAATAGTAGCAATACGGCAAAAGGCCGGAATAAACGCCACAACTTCAGGTTCCTTAGTGAGACGTCAAACACCACGACTTACAAAACCAGATTGGCATGCACCTTGGAAATTAATGAGAGTTATTAGTGGACATTTGGGTTGGGTAAGATCTATTGCTGTAGAACCAGGGAATAAATGGTTCGTAACAGGTGCTGGTGATAGAACCATTAAGGTAAATAAAATTATTATATAATTAAAATATCATTTATCTAATACAAATAAATGAATAATAGATTTAATTTTATTTATTTACAGATTTGGGATCTTGCATCGGGTACTTTGAGACTTACTTTAACTGGTCATATTTCTACTGTTCGCGGATTAGCCGTCTCTCCACGTCACCCATATTTATTTTCATGTGGTGAAGATAAAATGGTGAAATGTTGGGATCTTGAACAAAATAAGGTTATTCGGCATTATCATGGGCACCTATCTGGTGTATATTCTTTAAGTTTACATCCTACTTTGGATATTTTGGCGACTGCTGGAAGGGATGCTACTGCAAGGGTATTTATTTCTTGGTTTAATAAATAATTTAATAAGTTATAAAAACATAATATTAATTTAAGTAACACTTTAGGTGTGGGATATGCGTACAAAACAGTGTATTCACGTTCTCAGTGGTCACAATACTACTGTTGCTGATGTGAAATGTCAAGAAGCTGATCCTCAAGTTCTTACTGCTTCAATGGATTCAACAATTCGTCTTTGGGATCTTGCGGCTGGTAAAACATTGTCGACTCTCACACATCACAAAAAGTCCGTTAGGGCGTTGACATTACATCCTACTGAATTTACCTTTGCAAGTGGTAGTGCTGATAACATTAAACAATGGAAATGCCCCGAAGGTACATTTATGCAAAATTTCGAAGGCCACCGTGCAATTATAAATGCGTTGGCTGTCAATGCTGATAATGTTTTATTTTCTGGTGGTAAGTTTGATTGTGTCGTTATTTATCGTTATTATTATTTTTTTATCCGGTTCACTCGTTGACTTTAAAAAAAAAATAAAATTTTTTTAAACTAAGCTGATAATGGTTCAATGGCGTTCTGGGATTGGAAATCTGGATACAAGTTCCAATCTATGGAAACAACTGTACAGCCTGGTTCTTTAGAGTCTGAAGCCGGAATATTTGCCTGCACATTTGATCGCACAGGATTGAGATTAATAACATGTGAGGCAGATAAAACTATTAAAATTTGGAAAGAAGATCCAAATGCTGTATGTATTGTTGATTCATTTTTTTTTTTTTTATTAAAATAATTAATTGTTCACTAATAATTACTTTATGGTACATTTAAGACACCTGAGACACACCCTATTGATTGGAAGCCGTCATTAATCAGAACCAGATTTTAATTAGCTAATGAAGGAAATTTACATGAATACCTAAAAGTAAATTTCGCAAGATTACATTGGACTAGTGGTTGGACCCGTCTGAAAATTCATGACCCGGGTAACCCGGCGGTAGGGATGGTAAAAAAACGGTTTAAACCATTTTTTATATGTTTTTAATTGTTTTAAAAAAAGTTTTAAAACATCGAAGCTGATGTTAAAATTTAACTGAAGTTAAAATTATTGCATTTTGGCCGGTAAATTTTGGGCCAGCATTAAGCGCTATATTCTTCAGATCGATTAAAAAACACTTTAAACCATTTTTAAACAATTAAAAATAAACCAATCATCAGTTCTAAAATCACGTTTTAAACCATTTGCTATCCCTACTTTCAGCCTATTTGCATCCGGATTATAATTACCTGATTCAGTATTGGAACAAGAATTTTGTTATTTTGGTATAAATTAACTAACTAAAAAATTTATACTTAAACTCTAATTCTAACCCTAAAGTTCCAATCTGGGTATAACAAAATAAGGCATGTAGAAATAAGTTATATTAATGAAACTTATAATGCCGAATTATTGTTATTGTCATGGAATTAATTGGACTTGAAAAGGATGATATAAGGCCTTCACTTATTATTAAAATCTGCAGAGATGGTTGATATCTGACATACAGTATTTTTAAAGATGAACATAAGGCCTTCATTATTATCGAAAATCTACGGATGAATGATGTTGTTGATAGAATATATAACGCCGAATTGAAAAGGATAAACATAAGACTTTTTATTTATTATCAAAAATCCGCAAAGATGGGTAACATTGATAGAACATGTAATGCTGTATATTGTTAAAGATGGACATAAGACCTTCAAAAATCTGCTATGGGTGGCGCTCTGGAACATTTAATGCTGGATGTTGTTATCATTATAGAATTGGACCTGAAATGGTAAATGTAAGGCCTTTATTTATTATCAAAATTCGCAGAGATTGGTGACGATGAAGAAACATAAAATGCTGATTTTTTTTCATTATAGAATTGGACCTGAAATGGTAAATGTAAGGCCTTTATTTTTTATCAAAAATTCACAGAGATTGGTGACGATGATGAAACATAAAATGCTGATTTTTTTTCATTGTAGAATTGGACCTGAAATAGTAAATGTGAGGCCTTTATTTTTTATCAAAAATTCGCAGAGATTGGTGACGATGATGGAACATAAAATGCTGATATTTTTTTCATCCTGAAATTGGCGTTTAAAAGGATAAATACTGTTACAGTCGACCCTCTCAAAACCGATCCTGTTAAAACTGATAACCTGTCAAAACCGATAAAAATGTAGTCTACCAAGCCCGTTCCCGTTATATAATTCTATTTTCAAATCCGATAACCTCTCAAAACTGATACAAAACCTGTCCACCATGCATACCGATTCTGAGAGGGTCGACTGTATCAAATTCTAAGAGACAGTAAACGCTAGTGGAACAATATGTTGGATTTGTTATTGCCATGGAATTGAAGTTGAAAAGAAACTTTTGATTATTATAAAGATATGAAAAGCGCTAGTGGAACAAGTAGTGCTGATGTCATTATTATTGTTGAATTGGAGTTAAAAGGATAAACATAAGACTTTTATTCTATTCGTCAAAATTTTGCTAGGAGGATCTGATGGAACATAAACATTGGATATTGTTTTCATCATATATCTATGATTATATATAGAAATGTGATTATAAAGAAGTGAAATTATTATTAAAATCGTTAAAAAAAATGTGATAGTGATTATAAACTTTTTGTAATTAATTATATAGAAGGTTTTTTACTAGTAAACCAATTGGTAACCAAAATATTATGTGATTATATAGAGTTTGTGATTGTATGGGAGGTGATTGTATGGAATGACGACTGTACATAAAAGAACAATTTAAATCAAATTTAGAAAGAAATGTATTAAAAAATTTTAAAAAAAATTTAAAACAAAGAAAAAAAAAATTGAAAAGGAAAAAAAATCATAATTAAAAATTTAAATCAAATTTAGAAAGGAAACGTATTAAAAAATTTAAAAAAATTAAAAGGAAAAAAAAATTAAAGGAGAAGAAAAAAAAATTAAAAGGAAAAAAGGAAAAAAATCAAATAAAATTAAAAAAGAAAAAAATTTAAAAAGGAAAAAAGGAAAAAAATAAATAAAATAAAAAAGGAAAAAGATAAAATAAGTAAAATAAAAAAGAATTATAAAGAAAAGTGGGCATTAGCATTCCGGTACATTTAATGTAAAAGTAAATCCGATTTATAAACTCTCAATTCTGGGCTCGGAATTTATAAACACAAAAAAGAACACCTAACTCTAACGTGCAGTATGTACTAGAGTTGCATGTGGTACTAATCTTTAATGGTACACCATTGTTCACCAGGTGAAATTGGTGCATTAATGATGTAACAAGAGTCATAGATGAAACTAATTTTCAATGGTGCACCGATGGTGCACCAGTTTTTTGGTGAAATTAATTAGCACATCTAACGAACGTTGCGCAACGCAATATACATCTTTAATAAATTTGGTGTTTTCATATGTGACACATTCTTTCTTACAGCAAGATGTCAATTAACAACAAACTATTTGTTAAGCCAGAAAAAATTGCTGAAGAAATGTGTAATCTGTATAATGACGAATGTTTGAAAGGCCAAGATTCTGATTCAATTTTTAACACATTAGAACGGTTTCTAGTAAACAAAAAACAAAATCCAGTTGATATTATCAATTTTTGCTTAAATGATCATGTCAATCCTATAATTCAAAAAGTTCTCGCAGATTGTTATTATTTTG